GTGAAATTCTCACCCCTACTAAGGCAAAATGCTATGACCCATTCCCTGTGAATTATGAGGTGTCTCCAGTCATGCTGGTGGGAACAGGCCCCATGTGAACTCGGAAGAGGTTGCTCCTTGTAATTGTTTCCCATGGTTTTTCTGTGGCCTCAGAACATTTCTTCATGTGCTTGTGCAGATTGGCACTCAGACAGAACACTGAGGGCCTGCCCTCAAGGTTCTCCTCTCTGTATGGGTCACTCCTCCACATACTCTGTGCTGGGAACTTCAGCCACAAATCCTCCCTGGTTTCAGCTCTGTCTTCCCAAATCAGGGGCACCATCGATTGGGCTCTGCCAGGGTTCCCCGCCCTGTGTCAGAGCCTCACAGTAAGCTAGGACCATTATAGAGCCTGTCTTTTTTGTTTTCTACCTCTTGGGGGAACTCTGCCTTTCATTGCCAATGTCTTCATCTATCTCATTCAGTGTATTAGTTATTGCACATGAGAAGGTAAATGCACTGCCTGTTACTGCCTTTTGTTTGGGAGCAGAAACCTTTCTAACTCTCCTTTGAGAGTCTGCTTCCTAGAATCATGCCTGAGATTGACCGCTCTGGGCCAGTTTTCAGGAAACGAACTCTAGCACTCAGAGATTTGCATGCATGATGTTTATTAGTGAGTGTTTTGGGTAACATCTCTGAATGGAAGGCCAGCAGGATCAGGCAGAAGAAGATAAAGTGCAATGCTGTTGTGACCGAGATCTCCACCAATAAAGACGGAGCTCTGGAGAGAAGAACCTTTCAGAGGTGTCACGGTTATATGCCCTCCCTTACACACACTAATAAGATGCAGGCCACTGTCTGGGAGAAGGCATGGCCTTGGGCTGAGTGACAGCTTCCTCTCATGGGGGCGTGAATGCCTCTGTCCAAAAGGGGGATCTGGATTAGTACCAGTGTGCCCACGGCAGAGGCGACTGCAACATTATACACCTTCAGGTTCGTATGCAACCCCATGAAGTGTTTTATTACACTCAGGAAAACTATTGCTTCGTATTTCAACAACTAATCAAAATGGAAATTATTTTTCAACCACTATCATGAAAATATCTTCTTTCCCTATTCTCCCATTTTTTTTTAAGAATCCCTACTCAGAGTTTCCTCTCAAAGATAATTAAAACTATAAGTTAATGTCTACCCAGACTAATGAGACTATCTCGGGCAGGGACATTTGGCTTCATATCTTCAAGATTCAAATCCTCCATAACTAGTGGGATCTGGAGAGACAGAACAGTAGGGGACAAAACTGAATCTAAGTTGCAATTTTTAATAATATTTTCCATGACATAGAGTAACCATTCCAAGCAGGCAGTGTAGCAGAAGGCTGAAGAGTGACCACAGGTATAAAGTTTTAGTTTTGCAAAATGAGTAAGTTCTAGAGATCTGCTGTACAACATTGTGTTTAGAATTAACAATACTGTATTGTACATTCACAAATATGTTAATATCTTGTATTAAGCATTCTTACCACAATAAAGAAATACAATATGATACAATACAATACAATACAACATGATGTAATAGTGTGTGCACTCTGAAGCCAGACTGCTCACATTTAAGTTACGGGTCCACTCCTTCTGTGCTTTGGACTTTGGCCAAAAGCTCACTTTTCTTCTCTATAAAATGGGCTGATTGTATACCTCATAGGGCTGTGATCACTGAGCCCGAGGCAGAATAATGTGATTGTAAACAGCATCAGTCTGGTGCCAGACTGCATGGGCAAGAATCCTGCCTGACACTTAGTAATTTAATTTAACCTTTCCTCCTGTTTCCTTGTTTACACAAAAAAGAGATTGTAATGTTAACAAATTCCTAGGGTGTCTCTATGAATTATGTGAGCTAATGCAGGAAAAAGAGCTTCTTAGAGTGCCAACCATACAGCAAGTTCTCAATAGGTGTGAGCTCGGATTATGAGATGTTGAGGGGGCTTACAACTTTGAACTGAATTTGGTGAGGAAGAGTAGAACTTGAACAGGTCCTGCTCTCGTGCCCTTGGAGGCCAGCACATGAGAAGGGCCAGGGCATAAGGAAGGATAAAAAGAAGGCAGAGTGTTATAAGAATTTTAAGACACATAAAGCTCTGTGGCAAATAAAGGAAAATGAGGTCAATGGGACAGATGAATGACAATCGAAAGACAGAATTTGAAAGGCCAATTCACCTGAACCAGAAGCAGAACATGTAGAAGAATTTACACCTTCTCATCTGATTGCTTAAATTCTAGGCGACTTACACCTGACCTAACTGCAAAGAGGTGGCTGAGCAGCACCATGGATGTAACGGCCTCTGGCTGTGGGACCAAGCGTCTGAAGCCGCCCAGAGCTAAGGCTTTGAGAAACAGGAATGCTGCCCCTCTCTTTGCCCGACCCCGCCCAGTTCTAGTCATCTGCGACGCCCCACGGTGGGTGAAGTGGTTACCAAAGTTCACTTCCCCATTTCAGCAGATCCCCAACTAGTCCAAAGAGAGAGCCCTGCCTGTTCTGTTTCTGCGGGCATGGGGAAGTGAGTATTTCTAACGACTTCCCTGTGGAGCTGGGTAACGTTACTGCTGCCTGAAGCCAAATAACTCTTCCTCAAAAAGGTAAGTATAAATTGGAGAGAGGCTGCGCTGTGGGTCACTCTAATAACATATAAGCGCTGTTTCTCAGCCTTTGAATGTTATTCAACAGAGAACTTGGAAATCCGTTAAGCTGAGTTGCAGGGCAATCATCTGGATTTGTGACTCTGAAAGATTTTAACAAGGTTAGTTAGCCCGGAGCATTGCAGAGAGCAAAGGCTACCTACCCCATGTCAGGCAAATCTCTTTACCTCTCTGCACTTCACTTCCTTTACCTGTGAAATATGATATTAGCTATCATCATATGAGTGCTTATGATGTCCCCAAATACAACATTTGAGCTAAGTATTATCTTTCCCTTTTCACAAACGAAGAAAATGGAATCCAGAGGGTATAAATAACTTACCCAGGGTAACTCAACTAATAAGAGTCAGCATTAAAATTCATTTTTCCCTCTAAAGCCTATACATGTCCTAAGGAGCTCGCACCCCTCCCTAAGCCAGGCATGTAGCAGGAATGCAATAAATCACAGTTATTATGATATTTCAAAATGGCATTGACTATGATTATCATCTGTACATAATATGGATTTTTTTTTTTTTTTTTAAAGATGGATGTAAGGCCAATTTTCCTTTTTTTTTTGCACTGGCCCATACGAATACCATCTTATGGTTTATGGAGCATATTTGCCTCTTAGAATCATGGCCTGACCTGAGTTTAGTTCCAGAAAGAAGAGAAATTCTGTTTATGCATGCTGCACACATAGCATGATAAAGGAGAAAGAACACTGGACTAAGAATCAATAAGCACTTTATATTCCCCCCCCCAATTTTTTTTATTATATCATTTCAGCCTTATGTCAACTCCCTTATTTTTGTCCTAATTTAATAGATGAGAAAGCAGTCTCTGAGTGGGAGTAGTGATATGTTTGGCTTAAACCAGTGCTCCTCCCTTTAATGCCTCTGATCCAGACTGCACCAGTAGCTGTGAAACTTTTGGCAAGACACTTCTCTTGGTCCAGGGGTTTCATCTATAAAATATGGGTGAGCTGAAGATGACTTGATTTCTAAGACTTTTCTTTTCTAAGGTTCTTGGCATCTTGGAACCATTAACAATGACTTTGGGGATGACCTAGGCTAAAGGTGAAACTCACCCATTTGTGGGTTGGTTGCTTATAATTGTGCTGTTTTTACCCAATAGTGTTTGTATATGCTTCTGGCTATGCATTTGATTACTTTGATAAGATTTGGTATTAAATAATATTTTCTCAAAGTTTGGTCCTGTATTTTCATTCAGGAGAGTTTTCTGGAAATTTCAATCCTGAGATAAATGAGGCAGAGCCCTCAAGATGTCTTTATTTTCTTCACGTATACAGGAGATGTTTATAGGGGTTCTAAACCTCAGGTCTGTGCATGGTCAGATCTCACTATAGGGAGGTTGTTTTGGGCCCACACAATATTTTGCTTTGTTATAATAAGTTTTAAAGTGTTTCCAGTCTAAGCATCGCCGGGCTTCATTCATTCAGGGCATCTGCCTGCTCCTTGCTGGCATTTAAGCTTCATCTCAGAAACAGGGGCCCCCTATTTGCCATGCTTTCATTGTGTGCATTTTACATACATATTTATTTTCAGGAGAGAACCGTGAGTTAGATATTAGCACCTCCTGTTTACAAATGAGTAAATGAAGCTCAAAAGGAAAAACTTGCCCAAGGCAACTGATAAATACCGCTATGGGCTGGCTGAGCATTAGGCTTGAACCTTAATAGGTCTTGGTTTGTTTCTTCTGGCTCCAGTGCCTTTCCAAGTGAGTGTATCAAGGGCCTCTCGACTCTATGACTCGGATTTATTCTTTTACATGAACAGCGGAGACACCGGACTTTTTCATCACAGACTTCATTCATTTTTAGCTAAACTTGAGCAACTAAGGGTGTCATGGATCTTGCCTTCCGTGCAGGGATCCCCCCCCCGCACCCGCTCTATTCTTCAGGACCCGCCCTTTTCAAGCCATTAGCAAATTCAGAGCGTCCACATTGCCTCCTTAGTTACAACTGAGAGAACTGGTTCAGCAGAGAGAAGACCTGGGGAGAGGCGACATCGCATCATAAGCCGTCTTCAAATAACTGAAGAGCAAAGCCAGGTAGAGTGGACCTGATAGAGCTGCAGCGCCCCCGGGATTCCTCCCGACACCCAACCCCCAGACCACCTGGATGTGGAGACCCGAGCTCGCCGCTCGGGCGTCCCCAGTCGTCGCCCCCAGAGCCGCGGCGCTAGAGCCGCGGGGGACCCGCCCCTCGGCTGCGGCCCTTCGGCCGCCGTCTCCCTGACAACAGCGTCGCGGAGCGCGTCCCGGAGCCAGCTCCTCGCTCACAGCTCTGTCCACGCTTGGGGCCCGGGGCCCGGGGCCGCCTCTACCATGGCCTCCAAACAAACCAAAAAGAAAGAGGTGCATCGTATCAACTCGGCGCACGGATCGGATAAATCTAAAGAGTAAGGGACCTCTGCCTGCCTGCCCCCCCCCGGCCTAACCCCTGGCCTTACCCCTGGAAATGGGGCTTCTTCCCGGCAGCGAGCTCTGCCAGGGCGGGAGTGGGACTGGCCTCCTCGCAGCTTCTCTCTTTTGGGAGATTCTTGTTCCCGTTCCTTCCCCAAGCCTGCCTCCATCCGCCCCCTTCCCAGAGCCCCTGGTTTCCCTGCCTCAGGTGCCCAGCTGCACTTCTTGGGGTTTCCCTGCCTCAGGTGCCCAGCTGCACTTCTTGGGGTTTCCCTGCCTCAGGTGCCCAGCTGCACTTCTTGGGGTTTCCCTGCCTCAGGTGCCCAGCTGCACTTCTTGGGGTTTCCCTGCCTCAGGTGCCCAGCTGCACTTCTTGGGGTTTCCCTCGGTGAAACTCCCACTCTTCCCGCCCCTCCCCTCCTTCTTAGCCCATCCAGGCCCGTCCTGGGGTGCAGCTGCCTGACGAAAGAGGCGTAGCTCAGAGGATGTCCAGTTAGGGTCACATCTTCCTGGCCCCAATAATGACAGAGAGAGACAGACACAGACTAGAGAGACAGAAAGAACTTTGACCTCAACGCTTAATGGCGAGTCCCTAGTTTCTATCGGCCTCGTCCAACAACTAAAGAACTTTTATCAGATGACATCCGAAGTAAAATAATTTTAAAAAGTTAAAACTATATAAATATATAGTTCATGTTACTGATGTAACTCCTTTCCTGCACGCACCCCCATGTTCCTGATTCTCTAGTTTCCAGTTCTGCTTTTGTTCCTAAGCAGGCTTCCAGCTACCTAGCAGATAATCCATTCATTTTATTAACTTAAATTCCAGGCACTATATTACATACATAAGTGATTTTAACAAGATCTTGTAAGTCTGGTCATTTCAGCATTTACTAATGATTTCCATTCTTCTAGGTCCAAGTCTTACAAGGCCCTATAAGATCAGACCCCTATTACTCTTCTAACTTTACCACTCCCTTGTTCACATAGTAGTCTCCTCTCCACTCCCTGGAACACCCCTGTGTTGTTCCTACCTCAGAGCCTTTGCACTTGCTATTTCCACTGCTGGTAAGTTCTTCCCCCCAGATTTTTATATGGTTTTCTCCCTCACCTCCTTTAGGTGTGTACCTAAATGTCATTTTCTTGTGTCAGCTTCTTTGGCCAACTGGTTTAAAATCACAACCCCTATTTTCTTGGGAAAGCCAAAAAAATCCCTCCCTATTTTCTTCTGCTGCTTTATTTTTCTTGAAATTTTTATTCATTTAACATACTATATATTTTACTTTTTAAAAATTATATTTATTTATATATCTTCCTGATAGAATGTAAGTTCCATAAGGACAGAACTTCTTCTTTTTTATTTTATACACTATTGAATCAAGTGATTCTTGGATTGTACATAGCAGACACTCAAAAATGCTTATTTAATGAATGAATGACAGTAATTAAATAAGAGTTTATAACAGGGTTGCAACAGAATTTTTGAATATTTAAAAAAAAAACAAACCTTAGTCAATGATGGTTATAATTAATGCACGTTGAAGACTCACAACTCTTAAGGAGCTTTGGGGAAAATCTTTGACTTTAGAGAGTTTATATCCTGAAAGAGATGAGATTGTTAACTCCCATGGGAAAAAAAAAAAAAAAAACTGACCAAACCAGATACCATAAATCACAGTTCATGGCCTGGGCCAGTGATGGTTGCGTCACATGAGAGAGACAAGGTGCTTGCTGGTAAGATTGTAACTCTTTCCTCATGAGTACTTCCCATTTCTTTTTGAGATGATAATGTTATTTCCAACATGTTCATTTCTTCCAGAAAATATTTGAGTTGAAATTATATCAATAAAACTGTATGTGTCTATTTATGAAAATAGAAGAGTAAAAGCAAATAGTTATACAATATCTAGGCTTTGCTAGAAACTATTGAGCATTAAACATCAAACCATTAGATTTTGCTTTAGCATTATATGATAAAATGTGAAGTTTATTATAAATCAAGTCTCCCTCCAAAATTTTTACTGAAAATTTAATCATAGGTACCAGGCTAAGTCATCATCAAAAGATAAGGTGTCACCCAGCATGGGGCCTAGGGATCAAAGTCTATCAAGCCTTCAGTGTAATTGTCACTTGAAATAGGCTGGGGACATTTACAGTAAGCTTTTCTATATCATTTTACTGTAACTTATGGTTACACATCCAATAAATGCAACCAACTCTAACATGGTCCTAGATATGGAAATGAGAGTAAAGGTCTTCAGAGCCTTGAAAATAGCAATCTCCAGCATATCTCTTTTATTCCCTCAAATTATGTGTCCTAATGGGGACAAATACCATGTCTGGCTCTTGCCTAGAGTGGTGGCCATTACTGAGCATTTCCACTTGTTGATTAAGTGAGCTCATAGTTTAGTGACCTAGCTTGGTTTCCATTTCTTCTGAATTGGATTAAAGCCTGGTTCTCCTTCCCTTTCTAATCTGATCTGCTGATGGCAAAGTACAAAAACTGAGATGTTACAACTGAGAAAGCAGAGTCATCTATGTCCAGCTCTGACCAAATTCACACATCAATATGACTTTGAATCACCAAGAAAAGTTATGCCAGGTAACTGAGTTGTCAGTCTTTAGATTCACCTGTTATCATTTGTCTATTTTCCTGTCTCAGGAAGGATGGAATCTCTTTTATAGGGTTCATTCTGGCACTTATTTTTTTGTGATATTGGACATGTCATTTTTCTATTCTGACTTTCAGTGTTTTTCTTCTTTAAATGAAGAACCACCTAATTAAAGACCCAACACCCTCTGTCCTCCCTTTTCTGCTTTATTTTTCCCTCCAGCTCTAAACTTGCATGACTTCATCAGATTTTTAAAAGAACTTCACTATGTCCACAGTGGGTGAGGGAATTTTGTTACAGTTAAGTATTTAACACTTCAATTTAAGTCATTTTTCCAGTAGAAGTTATCTTTTTAAAATTCTATTTTCAGGAACAATAATTGTCATAACAACTGTCACAAATTTTAACTTTCATTATCAAATATCTAGTGATAATTAGAAATTATAAACCAGTCTAACTTAATCAATTTGAAAACTAATAGGCGAGTCAAAGATACTTTCATTAGTTAGATGCTATTAGAAGGATTTATAGTGACACTAAGTCAAAACTTTGATTTTCTTGGAAGTACTAAATATAAGCCTTTGTGTAGATCATGGCTAACTTAAAAGAAAGAAAAGAAAGTATGCCTTTTAAGTATTAGTAGTTATTAGAAGTGTTAAAGCTTATACTTTTAAACACCAAACTATTTGGAACTTTAATGGGCAGTTTGAGATAGAGACACAATTTGGTGTTTATAATAAACAAAATTTTGTTTCAGTTCCAATAGCACATTCAAACCAAGCTCAAACAGATAATCTGTTAAACTAACAAGAATTATGCAACCTTCTAGATTCTTAATGATGATGAAATATCATTAACCCTCTTTCCAGAAGAGAATGAAATGTATTTCATAATGCTCAATAATCTAACCTTACTGACTGAAACGCACATCTAAATATTTTATAGACTTCTCAAAAAAGAACAACATATCAGTCCATATGAAAATTTGAAAACAGGACTATTTCAAAAGCCGAATTGTGATCAGTGTTATAAAAGCAACATAAAATAGAAGAATATATATCTTACTGAGGATTAAATTAAGTGGGTTCTTGGTTATCAGAGGTTCAAGAGGGAGAGCAGATTAAATGAAAACATGCCACAGTGGTTGGTAGATAATATGTTCTTCCACCTTCAGAGATCAGGGAAGAAATTCCCCATAAGAGAGTCGGAAGGTGCCCTATGGCACCATGTCCTGTCCTCACAGCTCCACACAGGAAGGCAAAGGTAAGAAAGACAGCAGGTTTCACACTGAATTTTGTGGTTTCCCCGGATGACCTCTCTGGACCCCAGCGACTAAGGTCAATTAACAAATTTAAAAGGTTAGCTCCTGGGCGCCTGGGTGGCTCAGTTGGTTAGGCGACTGCCTTCGGCTCAGGTCATGATCCTGGAGTCCCGGGATCGAGTCCCGCATCGGGCTCCCTGCTCGGCGGGGAGTCTGCTTCTCCCTCTGCCGCTCTCTCTCTCTCTCTCAAATAAATAAATAAAATCTTAAAAAAAAAAAAAAAAGGTTAGCTCCTGTGACAGAAGCTTCCTTAGAGGAAAGCTTATTCTTTATGTCCATTTCTCAACTGTTCAATGAGTATTTCTCATGCCCAAGTCACTGGTAGGTCTGAGAGGACAAGGAATTGTGAAACATGGTAACTTCTCTCCAGGGATATGTGATTTGGGAGGAAAAACATCACACAGCAGTAACTAGGAAGTATATGATGATGCCACATTGGTCAGGGAGTACTTTTTGGAAATAATTGAAGGAGCCAGATGTTGGCATGGGATTAGATGAGAGACATCATGAGAGTCCTATAGTGATGGCTCTATGAGGGAGAGGAGAGAAAGATCACTTCCAACCGGAGCTGGTCTGTCCTCACTCCTTGACCAGCTAATCCCCAGTTCAGAAGGCACAGGTTAGTGAGATGGTCAGGCAGGCTATGGGGCTGTGTACGGCATAGAAAGCCAACCAGATGGCTGGTGTAGAGTCTGTGTCTGAATGGACTGGTCCCCAAAGCATCTAAAATGAATATGCAGCAGAATGAGAGGGACAGATTCAGGGATTTAAACTTTATTAAGGGATTTGAACTGTAAGGGAAAACAGAGATGTGTTTCTATATTAAAATGATGATTTATGAAGAATAATTCAACAATTGTCCGCATGGACTTTATGATGGATTAAGAATCATAGTAGCAAGAAATGAGTGGTATTCTGAGGTAATGGGGAATACCTGATTTGGGGAGCTCTCGATGACAGTAAGGGACATTGTTAAAGGGGAACTCTCGATGATAGTGAGGGACATTTTTTTAAATTAGTTTCAGAGGTAGAATTTAGTGATTCATCAGTTGCATATAACACC